TGTATCTTTTATTTTTGTTTTACGTATCTTTTTTATGATGGAATAAGGAGAATAAATCTTGGCTATTCATCACGTTTCTCTTTTTACCTGCATGTCTTGAAGAAGAAACAATTGAGTATTGTAATCCATTATTTACTGTTTGAATACCAAACTCTAATTCATAACTTTATCTTTAAATTGAGGTACGAAAAAAGATTATATAACGGCATGTTAAAGTTCTATTCACGTTCACAGACAGGTAGAAGCAGTGTTAAAACACTAAATGTAGAAATGAGACACAATTAAATAAATAGCATTGCCCTTTAACATTTTTTCCTTGAAAACACCCGCAATGTTGAATTTAATAATAATCTATAAATCTATTCCGTCCATATCACTTATTCGTAGAAAATGGATATTTTGGTTATTTAGCCATCAAAACTTGATTTGTTTACAAGTTATGAAAAAGGAAATATGTTTATAATGTTTACACTGCTAAACTCAACCGAACACACATTTTTTAACTCTTGACTGAAGATAAATTTTTGGGAATCTCTGTGAAACTACCCTTTTAACGGGTGCTTGTGATTATTTAATTGAGAATATGTAACTGATTTTAATACTAAGTCATCTCCGACGTTGGTGGATATTTCACAGCAGCCATTAGTTACTTCATGATTGTATTACATATAAACGTGTAAAAATGTACCTTGGATATTGCAAGATAATTTATCTAATTGTATCAAAGAAATTAGATTAAATTTTACTGTCACCTAAGTTCATGCAGTGAGAAGTGTAGTTTGTGGAAAAATATTTTGGTAAAAACGACTTGAAAGAAAGGTGCTAAGGACAATACATAATAAAGGCAGCATGGTTATCGATTGTAAAAAATGCGCGGAAGAAATATATAAACTATTATTCATTATCTTTATCCACACACGCTCGCGTACTTGCACGCAAGTGCACCGTACGTATGTGTGCCGGCTGCAATGATATCCCGCTGAGAGGGGGAGGCATCTTGAAATGGAAAACCTCGCATGCCAAGTGCAGGCCGACGCCGCATGTCACCAATGAGCGCGAGTGGAACACCCTCACCTTCCGAGGTAGAATATGTAATACACTTGGGTAAGTAATGACTATAACAGTTGTCACCCGCGGTGACAAGACGCGGTGCAGAGACGCGAAAGGAGCTGTTGCGCCTTAGGGAAAAGACACACCTACATAAAAGAAGCTTTCCGAAAACGCCTTGGTTGAATCTACAGGCGTCAGAGAAGAGCTCGGATAGGAATAAAATCAACGCCAGATAATGCTGGCAAAACATTGCAATGGAAAAAAAGCTCAACGGTTGAAGTCTGTATAATTACAATCCATCGGCAGCGAAGGATGCCGTTTGCATGCTGCGATTGGTGGGGCGGCCGCAGAGCGTGAGGGAACGTTGCGCTCGGTGTGCAAAGATGCGGCGCTGCTATCGACCGCTGAGGCCGCAGGACAATTTACTGAGGCGGCGCCGCGCGGTGGATTGACGGCCGTCTTCCTGGAAGCTTCACCGCCCTGCCGCCTCCGCATTGAGCGAATCCTCGTCCCCGACCCCCCGACTCCACCGCCGCCTCCCACGCCTCCTCACCGCCGCTCGAGGGACGTAAATAAAAATGACCCCTCCTCCAAGCGGCGCCACTGTCGCTCCAAGTCGGCGACGCATTATTCTCGAGAGTGGATGCGGAGGACTTGCCGGGAACGTCGCCGAACGGGCTCCACTTTCGCACTCGCTTGCGCCTTAAGCGGCCAATTCGCCTTCGCGTGCTGCTTCCCCAAGCAATTTGACGAATTGCTGCGTCTTTGGTGGAGATATAGCTATAAATATACCGCAGTTCCACACATGCGGACACTTTGCTCTTTCTAAACAATCACTTCAAAAGTGAAAATAGCTTCATTTCGAACGTTTATGACTGCCTAGGCTGTGGAGTAGGGTCAGCAACAAGAGATTGAATGTTAAATATGAAAATGGTTTAAGAAGGTTTTATTTTATTAAATAATGTTAAAGAAAGATAACTTGTGTCACAGAGACACAAAACCCTGATTTTATGGGTCTAGGACACACTTTTCTGAGGTAGGAAAGGTCAGTGATGTATATTGCAACGTGTTGAGGGTTGCACTATATCTGTACCAATATCTGCGAACTTTTACTTATTTGCATTACATCCTTTTGATAAAGAAATTGGGTAATTTCCTCTCCAGCAGTTCTATGAGGTTTGTATGGATTGTTTGCGATACATGGTAGTAAACCGTCAAGTTCCCTTCAATATATTAGAACAACTAACAGTTTAAACAAGTATCTGTAATTCAAAAATTATTACACAAATTCCTTAATATCTCAACTTCTCTTTCACCACACTCCATTTCCTTGCACAGTACAATTCAATTACCCAAGACCAAACACGAAGAGTTGTTACAGAACTACGAAAGGAAATAAAGAAATTCTATATTCACTGCAAAGTCGATTGGAAGAAATTTATCAATCTCTATACCAGGCATTCCCTACGACATTGTGAGTTTTCAGCCAAGCAACGTGTAGTGTAGTCCGACAGTGCACAAACGGACGGATAGATGCACAAAAAGGGACGGGCGGCCGAACATTTAAAAACTACTGGTGCTGCAATATTCTCAGGTTCTTTCGTAGTTTCTTTCGGGTTTGCCCATATATTGCCATATAATGTGTGAGAGACCTACCAGAACCTTCTGTTGTAACTACCACTCCCCTTCCTCATCGCCCCCCGTGAAGAGCACCAACATAATCGGAGTACATTACGCCTAGGTAGCCTTTAGGTTGATATCGTTCCTGTACCATCACATTTATGCCAGTTGTAGGTGATAGCATCAATACTTTTATTTTCGATAAAATCTTGAACTCGATTTTCCGCAGTATTACATAATATTATCTTATACTACGTTTATTATTCGGCATGTACGCAAGTATACCAGTAACTAAAAAACAATTAATTGCAAAATAGACATCGTTCTACCAAATCCTTACAAGAAATTTTACAATAATCATCAATGAAGGTTTTTCCAACCACAACCAAGCCATGTTATATTATTTTAGCCTCCTTGCGTTACATTCTTCTCACATGTACTCTCTTTGAGAAAGGAGTCATTAGACCTCATCAGCACAAAATAGAATCGAATAGACGCTGCGAGCAGTAACTTTGATTAGTAATTTCGGACGCACCAACTGCTAAGGTCATTGGTCCCGTAAGTTTAGAGTATTCCCCCTCCCCTCGGAAACTGGCAGTTATCTTCCCCGCTAAATGAGATACGGCGCTGCCATACCTAGCGTCTGCTATCGAGATTTTCCTCGACCAGACATTTCCCACCAGCGGGTCACCGTCCCAGACAGGACAAGCTCTAAGGCCCCAACTGATCACCTGTGTTAGTAGTGTAGAGCATACAAGTGTGTGTGTGTATGTGTGTGTGTGTGTGTGTGTGTAAGGGATAATAATATGGCAAGGAAGAGGAAGGGAAGAGCGCGCGCGATCCACGGCCCATTTGATAGGGTTCAGCACCAGCATTCATCTGGTATTGATCGGAGAAACAACGTAAAACTCCCGATCAGAGCAGCCAGCTGGCCGTTAGAATTCTTCTCCGGACAGCGACTGAACTCGACCTAACTATTGAAACGTCTCCACACATTCGTTTTTCGGCGAATAGCGAGTAACCGCTCGGTGAATCCCGAGTAGTGTGATAAAGTTGCTTGCTATTTGCCGAGGGACGAAAATTCCCATCCTATCAACTACGCTCATCCTATCCACCACGTGTCGTCCTTTAGGTCACATCAAAGGAAGCGAACATACGCCGAACACATCATCTGCTCGGCGAACAGCGAACTCAAAACCTCGCCGTCCGGCGAATGCCGAATGTGTGGAGCCGCCTTTAAACGAACGCAGCGAGCCTTTCCTTCCTCATCAAGCGCAAACTCGATTGCACAGCAGCGGCGCCGGGCGCGTCTCGGCGCCTCGCATGTCACGGCGCTGGTGGGCCCGTGTGGGCAGTGCGCGGCCGTTATCGGCGCGCGAGCGATTATTCGAATTAACGCGGCCCTAAGAGGTGCAATTACACGAGCGCTATTTCCAGAACTCCCTCGCCGCACTTGAGATAACCATCGTAAATTTCCTCGTCCGTTTGCGGCGGCCATCTTGCCCAATTAGCAATCGAATAACATCCGTACGGATAATTCCCTCGCGTCGTCTCTGGTACCGAAGCGATAGGCTATATTTGTCGGAGCCGGTCTTGGCAGGCAGCTGACGGGTGAGGCGAGAGCGATGAAGTCGCCAGGGGTGGGGCGGGGGAGAAGGTGGCTGCACGCTGATGCTGTGAACAGGGCTATGGTATTGTCGGAGTCGGTGGCAATGGGAAATGGGCATGAACGGCAGGTGGGCGGTAAGGCGTGGGCGGTGGGGGCGGTAGAGCCAGGTGATTCCAGAGCATCGGTGGGCGGACGAGGTGGTGGGCGACGGTTGGTGGGTGACGGAGTGTGGGCGGAGCGGGGTCACGTTGGGCGAACGGAGGTGCGGGAGACGACGGGTGGTGGGCGACGGGTGCTGGGCGACGGGTGTTGGGCGAACGCTTGGGTGGTGAGTGACGACGGTTTTGGTGAGGCGACGCGAGGATATGGGGACCATCGTGGTGGAGCTGGTGGTGCGTTGGGCGAACGGTGCCGTGTGTGCGAACGGTGAGGATGAGGGCGACGACTATGGTGAGGCGACGAGGTGTAGAGAGCGAACGGGTGGTGGAGCGTACGGGTGGGAGCGACGGTGGTGGGCCGACGTGGGTGTGGTGAGGCTGATACGTGGTTTATGTTGGTGTGGCGCTAACGGAGTGCAATGTTGGTTCGACGGGTGGTGCTGGGTAGCAGACGGACAAATTGTTGGGGCGACGAAGTGGTAGGGAGCGACGAGAGTTGGGAGCGTACGGGTTGGTGTGGCGACTGGGTGAGCCATTAATTATGATTAATTGTGCGACGCCTGATGAACGCGGAGTGGGGGACGGGTGGTGGGCGACGGAGTTGTGGGCGACGGGTTAGGTGGGCAGAGGGAATTGATGGGCGACCAGTGGTGGTGGGCGACGTGTGGTATGATGTGGGCGTAACAGCTGGTGGTGAGCGGCTCTGAACCGGGGTTTTGTTGGCGACGGTAGTGTTGAGTTCGGGCGACGGGGTGGTGGCGACGGGTGGTTGTTCGCGACGGTTGGTGGGCGAACGAGTGTTGGCTGTGGCGTGGCGGATGACCGATGGCTGTGCGGTTGGTGGTGTTAGGCTACGGACGTGTGGCTCCAGCTGGCGTGGTTGTTGGCCGCTGAGGGCGTGGCTCTGTGGTGGGCGCTAATGGGAAATTCGTTAATTACTTTCAGCGAGGAAGACGCAGAGAGAGTGCCGTGTTCTGCGTCCGTAGTGTTGGCCGGGTTTATGGCCGAAGAGTGTGTGTTCAGAGGCAAATCCAAGAGGCAGCAGGAGAGCATGGGAATAATCATCAACACGAAAATTATTCATTTAAAAAACATTAGAACAAATCTAAACGCTTATTGAAAAGGAATAAAATAGAGCCTACTATAGGCTTTGTTCGAAAAAAGAAGAAAAAACATAAGTATTACAGTAGACAATGCGACAATGAATAAAATATATAATCGTATTTTAAAACTTCCCGCTGCAGATCGTACTTTATTAACTGCTAATTTGGAACATTAGTGTCTTAGAAGGTGTTGTATAAACAAGAGCGATGAGAAGATGTCGGTGACAATATTATGTCGAAGTCCACGATAGTGAAATAGCAAGTGACATCAATAAATTGTCGTTGCTTACGACGATATGTCGATTTCAGATCAATGTCCCCATTTTTCGGGTAACCTCTGTAATCCTTTCAGTCACGTGCGATGTTATTCAAACATATGGGTTTGTGAAATCATTTAGGGGACGTGGTCGGAGTATATTTACAAATGGTTCGTGTTTATTTTATGAACCGACATTCCGTTTACCTCAGAAGATCAGTCTAATTTACCATTTTTTTATCCACTAATTATGCTTGATTTTCTTATACGCTTTTCGATATTATTTGCCTACATTTTTGTAACATTATTATAATTATTATTAGTAACGATTTTGGAAAAAACTAAATTACCCACGAAAACTATCCGTAACAACAATTTGCACTCCATGAACAGCCACTTCCGAGGCTGGCTGAAGAAAACGAGTCGAGCCGTGGCGAGACGTGAATTCGATTAGAAGTCTTGCAGTGATGCGAGGGTCAATGGTGGCTCCAGAGTTGTACTACAGATGACGCAATGTCGGCAACCCCTCCCCCTGCCATTCCCCTGCCCCCTCCCGTCTACCATTCTATAACAGAATAGTCTTCAACGAGCGCAGAATGATAGCTCTTATTCACGAGTTGATGTTTACGACACTCACTCCCACGTCGCTCGTGTCGTAATTTCTGCGAGTGAATAATAGCCATTCTACGCGAGTAGAAGACTATGTTTTCTCTTCGACTTTTAAATTGTTTTAAAAATACTAAATGGGCGCCTTAACCTTACAGAACGGCCACAGAACAAAGTATGTTCCCTGACCCTATCAATACTGCGACCCACGCGGACTGCAATCTCTGAACCTCGCATACTGTTTCGTGATTCACCTGGCGTATGCCGCGGCAGATCGCGCAGAACTGCTGTCCCCTGTAGGAGATTAAGAGAATCTGAGTAATTAAGACGAATATGATTGGTGAAGATTAATATTCATGCACAGCATGAGGAATTGCCATCATTAGTACATCTGATAACATGCCGAAATGTACACATACTAGAGTAGTTGTAGAGGGAAAAAATACTTGTATTGGAACACGATTGAAAGAAAAAGAACTGTGAGTGATTCAAACTTACCATTAGGAAAATTAGAGGAACAATTTTATGGTTCCACACTAACATCATTCGTCATAATCCTACTCCTCACCCCGATGTGATTTTCAATGACAGTGGCGTGTTTCAGATCCAGCCAAAGGTCATTTTCACATTTACTGATACCGTCGTCGCCATGATAGCAGCGTAGTATCAATACCGACACGATATTGGCAGGAGATATGCACATGTTGTTGTTGCCGTTGTCGGCGTCATGGTCGCAGTTAACAAATTGTTGTTTTTTCTATTCTAACTGTTAATGTTAACTTTCTATTCTAAATCTATTTCTAATTGTTGTTATATGTGGAACCAAAGACTGCAAACTTTTGTTGTGAAGTATATAGTTTTTTACGTTATTTACATTGTTTTATCCCGAATACAGTACTTAGATTCCACCAGTTATCTTAATATATCTATATGGTATTTGATTAGGCTATTTTAGTTAATTTTAACCGAAAAATTACACCCCACTCACAAATACAAAAAAAACATTCGTCATTTTCTGGTGCACAATTTCATTACTTTCACTTCTTAGCAAGAAATTCGTAAGGAGAGGAAGTAAAAATATTACATATTGTCGACACCATCAGTGAAATGAATGCTACTCGCTGACATGACATTACATGTAACGACACGGTACCGACATATGGGCGAGCGTGAAAGCATTTTCATTTATTGATATGAGATTGGGTGTTCACCGGCATCACTGTCGATAAACGTGAAATCTTCGACAGCAAGCGCCCGCTGGTCCGAACCGCGAGTAACCACGCGCGCGCGCGTGTGTGTGTGTTGCAGGTGTGGTTCCAGAACCGTCGCGCCAAGTGGAAGAAGCGCAAGAAGACGACGAACGTATTCCGCACGCCCGGCGCGCTGCTGCCGTCGCACGGCCTGCCGCCCTTCGGCTCCATGTCGGACGGGCTGTGCTCGCCCGCGGGCATGTTCGGTGGCGCCGACAGCCGGTGGGGCGTCTCGGGCATGACCTCAGGTACCAGCGCTTGGCTGCTTCAACGCGCATGGGGGGCCATTGAAAGGCTCAGCCGCTCCTCAACTAGGTGGCCCGGGGCCTTTACACTGCCTTGGCTACCTAGAGTACCATACTCCTCGCCGGTCTTATGGACCTGAGAACATTATCTAATGATTGATCCGCTTACAAAGCTTTCAAATGACCTACCAACTACCTCTTTAGATAGACAGGGGGATTACTCGGCACTGTATTAAGGTAGTCACTAAACCAGCGGATAGTCATAGGGTGCTGGGGATCAAATCAAATCGTTCACACGTTTCCCAAGCTTTGAAGTGAACCTTCAACTACCTCTTAAGTATTCTGGGGGCTATCCCGTCTGTACCAAGCGTTAGGATTGACGCCGTGTCCCCTGCCCATCGTAGGAAACAGGGAACACAATTTAATCTTATTGACCCGTTTACTACGCTTTCAAATTATCACAGAATGTTGAGTAGCATGGGGGATATTGATACGTAAAACAAGGACAGAAACGGAAAAGTAGATATGTCACATTCGAAATAAACTCCTACAATTTAGAGTGAAATAACCGTGATAATTCTGGCAATAATAATATAATAATAATAATAATAATAATAATAATAATAATAATAATAATAATAATAATAATAATAATAATAATAACAATGGTAATAATATATTTCATTATAATTATTATTTAGAAGCATATTACAATTCAACTGACCAAGTTTAGTACTGCACACACTACTACTTTATAATACCCGGCTTCTTCCGTACACAATATTACCAAACTGAATTTTTAAATTCATTTAGCTTTTGTTACAGCCCACATATGTGATCCCCGGTGATATGCCTTCACAGGTCACTCAAACGGTATGTGATATTTGTACACGCGTAGCAGTAAACCACAGCATGAAACACCTTATACTCAAAACATTTTAAAACTTTTTTCATCCAAATTAAATTTCTTGTCACTTTTCTTCAAAAAAATATAGTAATCATGAAAATATGAAATACATTCTTATTATTCTTGTTATAATTTAGTTAGTGTTATTATTTAATTCTCCTTGTAAGTTTTATTTATTTTTAGTATAATATGCCATGTGTAAATAAAAAAATTTATTGGAAAAGGGGGCACTAAAATGTGATTTCACCTTCTTTGTTTTAGACTGCGCACGTCTATGTAAACACACACGCACAATCACACTCCAGTCTAGGGTACTCTATCTAAAAACAAAGAACGATTTTTTTCTATCCGTAATACTTGATCAATTAATCGTCTTCCCAATTACATTAATAATAGCATCACATTGAGAACAATCGACGAGTACTTCATTATTTATTTGCGGAATAAATTTGAACGTTTATTATACTTTAAAGAACATTACTTATTCAATTAAAGTTGTATAATTTGTGAGATTGTCCCATAAAATATTACACCAGAATGACCAATCAACACTTTTCCCAGGGTCTTGTGTAAACTTCCATGCATATTGTGAAAACATCTTTCAACTTTAATCGCTTTGTATGCTTTTTCGTGTTTTCTACAGTTCCGCTTATACTATTTATCAGGGAGTTACGATTTAATACCATTGCTCTACAAAAGTAACTATGGTACTCAGAGTGCTATAAAACGTAAATAAGTCAAATAACAAATTCAAAACTACACAGACGAAACTTATTGTTCTATTTACACATTTAATAGGGTGGCTTGACCCTGATGACTCAGAAATCAGGAGCCTGCCGAGCGTATCGTATGTCTCAAGCGTATGTATTTCATCTTTAAACATCATATACCGTAGCAAGCTAGATGTCTATAACGGATTATTTACTTTAATAATATGATTGTTTCGTTATTGGGCACCATTCTTGACTTACCCAAATATATAAATATCAGTTTCTATCATATTAAACAACTTCTAACAAGTTCACAGTAAAATACATTCGTAATTTTAGATGGGTCAGTCAAGCAAAAATGGAGAGACTTAAAGCACAAACGAAATGTTATATAATTGTGAGTCCCACAAACTGTTATGACAATACACTAGTTATCAAACAACTGAATATCACACCTACCAATTAATAAAATGCCCTCCATGAACTTCATTCTGAATTTTCCCTAAGTCCATACATTGCAGATGATTTCTAATAACGCCGTTTTAGACAATAATGCTGACCACTTCTGATCATGAAGGTACCTACACGAATTAATTCACAGATGCAACAAAATAGAAAAAACAAATAATCGTGATATTGATCACCTCTTTAGGTGCCTTGAGCCTCCCTTCACAGACACATTAAAGCATTCACCTTCTCCCCAAAAGAGTTTTTTTCGAGGATTCGACGGAAAAAGTTCAATTTGTCACTAATACACAGATATTCTGAATGGTAAGCTGAAAGAAATCTAACCATGAGTAGTGGACACACACACACGCAGCTTACTCGATAATTTGATATAGAGTGTTTTTGTCAGAAATTTTAATTTTTCCGAGTATTTAGCTAAGATTCATCGCTGCCAGCGTGAGAATTATTAACAATCCACTGCCCCTAGCCAGATTAGCACCCGCTTGGTTTTAGCAAGTCAGTGTGATCTACCTTACCACTAGCTGTCTTTCCCAACTGCTATCCCCCAACAGTAATACCCCAACTACAACCCCAAAAGTGTAATCCTCCGCATGCAGTCCCCCAAAGGCTATTCCCAAGTTCAAATCCGCAAGTGCTAACTCCCCAAGTACAATCTCTCAAGTGCAATCCCCCAAGTAAAATTCCTCAAGTGAAATCCCCCCAAGTGCAATCCCCCCAAGTGCAATCCCCCAAGTGCGATCCCCCAAGTGCGATCCCCCAAGTGCAATCCCCCAAGTGCAATCCCTTAAATGCAATACCCCAAGTGGAATCCCCCACGTGCAATCCCACATGTGCAATTCTCATGTGCAATCCCAAATGTAATCCCCCAAGTGACAAGACCCCAACCTCCTATGCTACCCCCATGGCACTGGGGCTGGCGATTGCTTTGTGTAGGCTTCTCGTGTGGATCGCCGCAACAAGGGGACGCGTGGCGTGTGGTTGCAGGCCTGGGCCAGCTGGGCCAGAGCGGTGTCACAATGGGCGGCTTCGGGCAGTCGCTGGGGCAGCTCAACCAGGGCTCGCCGCTCACCTCGGGGCTCAACTCCAGCCTGCCCATCACGTCCTCCATGTCCTCCAACGGCTCCACCGTCTACCAGGCGCACTACGGCCTCAACACGCTGGGTGAGTCCTGCTTCGCACTGGCTCTGACAAGTGTGTGAGAGTGCCATATTTCTACACGCCATGTTAATTCAACGAACATTATAAAATATAACTAAGGATAAATACTTTGAAGGAGGAAAAAAGTGTTAAATAGAAAATTTAAAAACATCAAAAATCTCAAATAGAGGAACAAAAAATGTCAATATATGAAAAATTTCAATTATAGTAGCCTGTATTACTTACAGACTTTCAATTTAATAATTGTAATTCTGTAATTGGCACAAACTTTTGCGTACTAATTGGTTCCTTTTTTCTTTTAATTGGGGAGTATCGTTCCAGATTTGTCCTCACTCTCTTTCGATTGCTATCTATTGGCACCCAAGGGAGCAGCCACGGCTACCCACGGTAACTATCCACTACAAAGATAGGGGAAATTTCTCGCGGGTTCTCGGCGCCAGATTTCATGTTACAGTGGGAAAGTATACACTACACTCGCAGGACAAACGACCATTGTTGACGAGCTGGGAAACACTAAATTCTCACTCGGTCACTACCTGTTTATTGTAGAATCAAGCTTTGATTGCAATAACGCAGCGCACAATACTAAATACAATTCAACTTAGTCATGTGTTTACCAAGAACGGCACCGTCTCCTTACACACACCCCTTGCCGGACTTTCTTTAGACAGAGATGTCGAAGTAAAGTTTGCACGTAGTACCGTTGCTAAGATACGTGATATACAGAGAGTCATTTATATTTCAAGAAAAACATCACCGTCTTCTTATCATTTAAATGAACAAAATTTTATTAAGTAATTTGGATGAGAAACGCTTCAATTCTGCACAGCAATTTCTTGACAATCTCTCCTCTTCTCGAACATCCGAAAGTTTGAATTGAACGTTAAAATGAACGGAAGCGCTGAGGCTATTTTTAAGAATTTCAAAAGAATTCATCTATTTTAAACGCATAACAAAACATGTAGATTTATGAATTCACGGGTTTAGGGTGCACTCTACGACAGTCTTGTTATATGAATCGCACGCAGTATTGTGCAAGCCGGCATTCACGATTAATTCACTTGAGACTTCAGTTCACTTACTGCTCGCAAGTGACGCTAATGACCTTCCAGTGTTCAACAATGCATTGAGTCGTCGGAATGCGCACAATGGATTAGTTCATTAATCCTTTCTGGCGCATCAACTGCGAAGGCCATTATTCCCGCTATTATAGTGCATAGTTTTATCGCGGGAGGTGGCGGTGAACTTTCCCACTGGATGGTGGTATCCGGCGCAGACTTACGAAGACCATGAAAACCCCGTCGGTGAGTGGGGTTTCCCGAACCAGGTATCTCCCATCTGTGGGTCATTGCCTCAGCCGGGCAAGCTGTAATCTGATCTCCCGAGAAGTGATGTAGTTTATTGTACATGAGTATCAGTGTGTTGAAGTGAGGAGTGGGGATAGGACCAAGGAGAGAGAAGAAAAACCGCGCGCGATCCGTGACCCGTTTGATAGGGTACTGCACCGGCATTCGCCAGGCATTAATCGGAGAAACCGGGGAAAACTACCGATTAGAGCGGCCATCTGCAAGAATTCTTTTCCATGCAGCGCCTGAATTTGACCTAGCTAGGGTAGCAAATCCTGCCGCGGCACCTTCGGTATTCGAACCCTAAGGCCTCTCGGCCAGAGACACTGCAGTGACATCAGTGCATGCTCTGAGTCACCCAAATTCACACGAAGTTCCGGTGACAAAAGATTGGTGGAAATTATAAAATTACATAAAACAATTTCTACGGAAATATCTACTTCCGATGTCCAAACATTAAAGAAATTATTTCTCGCTAATATTACGAGAAACACTCAGGTGCGCGTTTTTTCTACGTGAAACGGATCATTCCGTATTCTGAGGGGATTAACGAAGGGCCAGAAGTCCACTCTTTCGAGGCTTGCGCGCTGTGAGGCCCTGATCAGCCGTTGGGCGCCGCGCCGGGCCACTCGCGTGATACCTTTTGCGGCCACTCCCTCTGCGCAAACAACTGAGCCCCGCGCCGCCCTTCGCCCCAAGCGCTCACGCTCACAGCTCCAGGCGTCACCTTGGAAGGGGACCCAAACCACGAATTGGCTTCCGGACACGATTTAGTGTCTCTGGGCGCGTCATTAGTCCCAACGTGCCCTTGTAGTGCAGTTTGCATCGCGGAAAGTGACTATATTCCCCCCCTGGTAGATCGTGAGATGCGCCATTGATGTAGACGTCAGCATACAGGATTTCCACTGTGTAGGTATCTTTCCCAGTGGGGCAACGACTTAGGACAAGCACTAAGGTAATCCAACTGGTGTTCCACCCGACTGGTATTTCAACATGCGTGGTAGTGTAATATACGTAAGTCTAAAACTAAGTAACGGGTGAGAACAGGACATAGATGAGGAGGAAAACATCACAGGCCAAACTTAGCGCGTTTGTAAGGGTACCGCTCGGACATTCGCCATGTATTGATCGGAGGAACCACGGAAAACTACCGATTAGAGCAGCCAGCCGCTAGCTTTTTCCTTTACATGTGGTTGATTTCGACTGTGCTATGTAGTGTGGAAACGCCGCCACCGCCGGCACACGAACCCATGACCTTCCAGTCAGAGTCGATGTAATTGTTTTGCAGCCGTACTCATTTCTTTCATGTTTTCAAAGCTTATAGTGGGAGGAACGAAGTGTGAAATTTAAGATTATTATATTTATTCTTGAAAATCTAGGCTGAACGTTTCATAAACATTCTCGCACCCAAGGGGAGCTCATGGGGCTTCAGCCCCCCTCCTCAGAAGCCATAAATGATATACAGAGGTAGTCACGTAATTTTAGTACCTTCTGTAATTTTTGAACGTTTGAAGTCATTGAATTGCAGTTTTCACGGAAGTGGTCGAGGGAATGGGGCTAATTCATGTACGTATTCGTTTTCAAATTATCACTTGAAATTTACAAGATATTGAGGTACGTTTGTGTTTTACAAATGAAACTATTCATTTTTTAGTCTATCATGACGATATTAAAAAGACGAATACAATGAGAAGCATATTATTATATGTTAGATAAGCTTTCTTTAAAAATAATATTGATTTCTTTGCGACTAGTATTTAACGGATATTCTGAATGTCACAGACCACAGAATAATTGTTTTTGACAGTTTAGTAAGGGAGAATAATTTTACCTCATGTACACAATAAGCAAATATAATGTTTGAAATTTCTATCCTAACAAAATAAAAATCAGTGAGTTTTATTTACTATTAATTTTTTTCTGTAATTTCTCACGTTTTCACAAGTTACAATCATTTGTACGGCATATTTCACCGAGAGAAATTTTGATGTAGAACGTGAAAGGATGAAGTCAACGAAAACTATCCACTGAAGGAAAATGCTGTAAATAATGGCTGTGATAAGTGGCATTCAATTTGAAGAAAGGACAGAAGAAGTGTTAAACGGTATAAATTAAGGTAGTACTGAAAATTGTTCTTAAATGACGGACTTATTCGAATTTGTATGTACACTAAAAATGCCGAGCATGTTTGGGTCACCATTAGCGTTAGTTTGACGACACGCGTAGGTCCACAGGCAAGAGGCAGACCCCGTCTCCTCTGTTGTTTACAACGTGATTTAAATACCACACATTCTCCGATTCATTTCCATCAGGTTACTTTTGCCCTAGCTTTCAAACTTATCTTCGTCATTGGCGAAATATGGCTATATCCACATTATAAATATATCGCCAAAAAGCAAATTGTTTAGACAAAAAGATTACACTACTTCGTTACATCACCAATTCGTATACATGAGGAATGCTTCCCAAACAGTTGACGGTGAGCGCATAGTAAGTAGTAAGTTACACGCTAAAAGCTCATGCAATTTTATACGAATGTAAATCAATAAGCGATACGCTTTTCAGATTATCGTGAAAACCAATCTTAGCAAGCCAGATTGTTCACATCTCTACTGCGAGTGCCCGCCTCCCCGTCACTCATGGTTCATGTTTAGTTCATGCTTTAACTTAAATAAATTGAGCCAAAGCGAAAATGTGCTGCCAGGCTACACGCGCCTGTAATTCCCATCTCATTTTTATCCACAAAAGTTCCTCGTTTGAGTGTTTGTTGCCTCACGAGCCCTCTTCGTGGGGAGGAACTACGTTCGTCTGGGACACCAATTCGGCAACGCCCTTAGCCAGCCTCGTAGCGGTGGGACATTCGCGAATTACGTGTGCAGTGTGCGAACGAGGTTTCTGACTCGTCCCTGTCCCTCCGCACCGCGTCGTGGAACCCCTCCACACATAAGTGCATGCACCGGGGACACGATCCACTATCCTCTTACCACTGCCCCGGCAACCACTTGGTCCACTGCACGGGCGAGGGTTCATTGGGGAAATAGATGGAAATTATTATACCTTTGACGCAGAAATCTTTTTCTTCTTCAGCACACGATCATTGTGTCATCATGTTAAACAGTGAGGGACAAACGACGTATACACTTTCTTTATCATTCTTCTACATTCTGTTCCTTGTTTCTGTTCGGACTCTCCTACCAAATCCATCATTACTACAGGCACATCAATATCAGCATTACATAATCATTTTCATAGGAATTATCGCTTTTTCCTTGGTTGGTGGAAACGGTGTTGATAACCACGTATCTCAGCAAAGTATGGCTTTGTGCTCACCTCAGGAGGCCAGGGTGCGCATTGGCAATTTTCTGCGCCGGACATTTGCTATTCTGTGGGTCGGAGTGAACTCTTAGGCAGTACAGAATAGTTTTCTTGTCTTAATTGCTTGATTTCAATCTTTTTATGGGTGGAAATCGTAATAGAGGTAACCACACATAAATTTATTGGTCCTTGTTTCCATGGTCTACAAGATATTGAAAACTATCAGATTGCCAACGCAGTGGAAAAGAACGCTCCAAAACTATTGTTACCGGCTTTGGCGGCTCAGGGTATGAGGGCATGTCGGTACAGTGCCTCTCATCGGGAGAGTTCCAGTCCGATCGG